GAGAATGGTAGGCGTAGATGACTAATCAAATTGCAAGACTACTTCAGCAATAAGGTCAGTTTACAGAGATACGATATGTCACTAGAGGAAGAAGCACAAAGATATGCCAACACGTGCCCAAGAAGCAGATCTGCTATCTTCACACGTCCAAATTCTGGCGAAAACTTCGCAATGATTACGTCATCGACCTCAGCTCTTGACGCTGCTGTTCGGGTATACTCGAAGGAAAAAAACTACCCTCTCAACATTGCTAAAGATGGATTTCAGGCTGTAAGATCATGGTGGAGCATAATATTCCGCAATGGCATGAATAGGAGGGTTGTGTATACGGAGTTTTTGGAAAGAAAACCAATGTCGCCAAGCAACATGACTCAGGTATGTGGATAGAAAGTTCGAAACTTTGAGAAGGGCGAGTTATGGAGTAGTTTAGTGCCATAGAATGCTGAAAAACAGATAGGCGTAAGAATTACAGTTCGGAAATACACTTGAAATGTACTTGTATGTCCTTAAATTAGGATTTCTGGCAGTTCGCGTGGTAGGGTTGTTGTGAAAATATATTTCCAGAATTATACTCAAATTCAATCACCATACTCAACCACGTAATCACACCCACAATTCAAATACTCTCTTCATAAAATTAGCCTATCTCCATTAATTTAGACTTTATCGGAAAATTTCTGATTCCTAATAATCTGATGTGATGGGAAGTTGTTTTTGAAAGTTATAATGATGCGCATATCATAATTTATAAGGGAAGTACAAATATGAAATAGCAAGTATAGTACAAAAACTTGAAATCATTAACTTAATAAAAATTTTTCACAAAATAAAGCACAGGAACACTTAATCACATCGTCAGTATTGAGTATAGCATAAACTTTACGGCATATTCATATCAGTAGCGCAAATTTTCTGGCATACTTACATCGCAGAAATTAATGAAGAAGAAGTATTGCAGATGGCTTGGGCTGGTTCATACAGACTCGGCTGTGGTATGAGAAACTGCATTGCTTTCAGAGCCGTCGTTTGCCGCTATGCTCCCCGGTGTGTAATGTCATTTTTTCTCTCTAGAAGCTTGCTCTGCTTAGTATTTGAGTATTTTCGCATTGCTAACCATACAAGATGTTTATGACAAAAAGTTATTTCACCTTACACCTTTTCTTCAAGCGTTATTGAGAACTAA